AAAAAAAAGAAAAAGATATGTGTTCTAATGTCTATGAAGGCATATAAATGTTACTTAATTGGGTTCAACTGTCATTTCATTTCCAGGCGGGTGTTTGTACTGTTTAATAAAGAGTATGACTACCTGCAAGTCCAGCGGTGTGAGGATGTGGATGAGTGTGCCACAGACAATGGAGGATGTGATGTACATTCTGACTGCAGCAACACCATTGTAAGTACACTGTGTAGCACATATATGCTCTACACAACCTTCACCAATATGATAAAAAAGCATTTGAAATTTTTGGAAAAATAGATTAAAAGTATACAAACTATGTATCAGTATGCCATTTTAATTGCACAGAAAATGAAAGCTGTAATAATTTTTACATTAATATACTGTGAAAATATATATATAAATAATATATAAATAAATGCTACAATAAATTACCTTGATGTGTTCATATTCATCATAACCTTAGATTATTTTAGATAAAGATGAAGAATGCTTCGATTTTCTCTTACATATTAGGGTAGCTACAACTGTGGGTTCTGTAAGACTGGCTGGATAGGTGAGGGTCGTAGAGTCTGTATACCAGACAACCCCTGTACCACAGGCACTCATAACTGTAACCAACATGCCACCTGCAGCTATGCTGGACCAGGACTCTTTAAATGTGAGGTAGGGTGATACAGCACATAGTAGGAAACAAGATCAATAAGACAACATGATATATTTGATGAAGTAGATTCCAGTCTTGAAGATGTAGGTTAATTGTCTTTGTTATTCGTTTAGATAAAGTTGTTTTAAATCAGCATTTGTTATTGTTTGATCTAGTATTTGCTTATTAAGGAATTGCTTAAAGGGAAAATAACTCTTCGTATGAGATCTATATTTCACAATAAAAACATTGTAAATAACTCATAGAAATATAATATGTTCTGTTTTACCACAAAAACTGCAGTTATAGCTCGAAATTCTGATATTTGAGCTTGTCTTTAAACCACGTGACCTCCATTGATGGCTATACTCTGTTAAAATCTCTTAAGAGATTTTAACAAAATACCAAACTTTTTAGAAAAAAAACAGGGACTAACTTTGAATGTAAAAATGGATTTATTAACCATTGGTAAGTATGGGAAAATTGTTGTTTATTCCAGGAAAATTCATTTTTTGGCCGAAAAGAAGAGTTATTATCCCTTTAAGATGAAAACATCCAAAAGTATAGATCATGCACTGATAAATATGAGTGTGTTTTGTGTGTTTATGTGATCCCTTGTTTTCTCCCAGTGCAACCCTGGCTATGCTGGAGATGGTGTGTTCTGTGATGAGGACTATGACTTGGATGGTCGCCCAATCAGAAATATTGTGTGCAGCATTAGACAGTGTATTAAGGTAGGTACATTGGACACGGAATAAATAATATCAGAGAAAAAAAAAACAAACAAACCAATTCTTTAGAGGTGTAATGAAAATAGATAATAGTAAAAACCAAGTGTGGATAATGTCAGTGCAGTTGGAATGGAAAAGAAACAAAGAATGACAAAGAGGAAAAACACTGGACAGCTACCCATAACTATGGGTTCATAATAAAGTGAGGCATGCCGAGACATCAAGACCGAGAGATGTGGAGGAGGTAGATCTTCAATACTGTGGAGCAGGGCACATGATAAGATGACTGTACATGAAAGCTAAATGCAACAGATGGTTACTGTGAGTGGTGAGAGCTTATGAGTCTGTAAACACATATTTTATGCTTTGGCTGTTGTAATTTCTCTTCCTTATTGTTCATTACCAACATTTATTTCTCTAGGACAACTGTGCTGCCTACCCCAACAGTGGTTTGGAGGATAATGATGGTGACAGCATGGGAGACATGTGTGATCCAGATGATGACAATGATGCACTTTATGACTACAGAGTATGAATAGTTGTCCATTTCATCCAGAAGTATCAACTGAAAAAAGTCATCGGAAGCTACCTTTGGGGTCATTCAGACTATTTATATTGCCACATCTTTCATGTATCTATAGAATATGCAATCATCTGACCTACTGGTGTTACAGGATTGTAGACAAGGGGTTCACATGGTTATAAAGAACCACTTTCTTGGTTTGTATAGGTCCACTCTGAATCAAATTCTGATCCTGATTAATGCAATTTCTCAGACTGGGTCAACTAAGAATGTAAAAGGCTTACTTCTTCAGAGCAAAACCCCCCTATTTGAAATTGCTGGTTACAGGTGTGTTATTGACTGACTGTAATTGCAGGATAACTGCCAGTTTGTGGCCAACTATGATCAGACAGACACAGATGGAGATGGTGTGGGTGATGCCTGTGACAACTGCCCAGCAGACAGTAACACTGACCAGTTGGATACAGACTCTGATGGCCAGGGAGATGCCTGTGATACAGATGATGATAATGATGGTCAGTGGGTGATCATTTTTAAAGAGACATATAAGAATGTAGAAAAATATAAGCTTAAAATGTTTTGTATAGACTTGTTTCATAGACTTATCAACTTGTGGTGAAAATAAATAGAACTTAAAAAATCAATTGTTTCAATAATTAATTTTTTTCAAGATCTCTAGTATTATAACTTTGGTTTGGGTCAGTAACATGAAGGCCTTGTTCCAGGTGTGAATGACTCTGCACCAGATAACTGTCAGTTTGTAGCCAATGGAGACCAGAGTGACGCAGACTCCGACGGCATTGGCGATCTGTGCGACAACTGTGTGAATGTCGCCAACAACAACCAGACAGACACGGATCAGAATGGTGTAGGAGATGCCTGTGATGTGATTGGAGCTAGTGATAAAGACAGGTAAGAACCGTTGGCTTATGAATTGTGAAACCAACAAAGGTATTTGCACTTCATTATCTTAAAAAAAGAAAGGAAAGACACAAGTTAAAATTGATAGAAAACCTGGTTTGTTGAATGAAAACTTTTGTCTCATATTCAGGGATGGTGACAGCATATTGAACTTCCTGGATAATTGTCCATATGCTCCCAATCCAGAACAGACAGATATAGACGGGGATGGCCAGGGTAAGAAAATGACCCCTGTGTAACTTTTTGTTTAATATGTTTATCATACACATTATAAAAGAACAGGTTTGTCAAAAAAAAAAAA